TTATATATACAAATTTATATTTATTTGAATTTATCAATCAGAAATAACAATCCTGTTCATGTTTTATTTTCTCTGGGTTCTTTCACCGATAGTATCTAATTATTGCAGAAGCAGTTTAAAAAAAATATTTATTGTTGTGGACGAATATGTTGTGTAAAAGTCAACCGGATGTTTCATCTTTTCTTAAAGGAGAATAAACAATTTAAACCCTCAAATAGCATTCTAAGCCAACAAAAGATAACTTTGTTATGGCTTTCCTCGACGTCTATTAGGGAGGGGTGGTCGTAAAAAGAAACGCTGAATAGAGAGAAAGCTCGGCTTTGTTTACAGAATAACCATGTGTGCCAGAAAAAAACCTTTTTCTCCGCTAAAACTCTGAACAGTTGGTGACTTAGAAGGTTGCTTGAAGCCTTTTTTTCATTGCAACAAAAAATTAATTACCCATTTTTCCTTTTTTTTTCAATAGTGAGAAAAAATAGATCTAAAAATAAGAATGCTCTTTTAACCGTACTCGAAAAAATTGCAAAACAGCATGAGAATTTGCTCTGAATTTTAAATATAAAACATAATTACACACAAGTACTTTAAGTTATCCTTGAGTTGATAGCTTGTTTATTTTAATTTAATTAGCATTTTTTGCATTGCATTAACGAATTACCACATAAAAATATACGGAAAAATAACTAACAATGCTAAATTTTCTGTTTAGTATAATACTTTGCATATTCAGAAATGGAAGTTAAGATGATTTATTTACGAAAGACTTATGGAAAATAAAGGTTTAAAATCATAATAAACAAGACTTGAATATGAACACCAAATTTAGTTATTTACAAATTCATCCAAAAATATTTTCTTTTTTACTCTAAATACTGCAAATTTCACCAATTTTGTCTTTTTGCCAGTTATGCAAGAATGCAAATAAAACAATATATATATTTAGATGATCCTTATTTATGTAAAACAATTTCAACATGGGTTTTTATTCTTCATTTGTTGTCGTTTCTTAATTATTCACCGAGGCCGAATTTATTGCCAAGGTGAGTAATCTAGTAATTATTTAGATTCCCAAACCGCGGTCCACATTTTGAAACAATTTTCTGAGATTTTATTGCTTTACCTCGTACCTTTTAATTATACGTTATGATCCAGTTATGATGATTGAGGATACTAATATTGTAACTCAGTAACTCAGAGTTTCTCAAACTGTGGCGCGCGCCCCCTAGGGCTGCGTGATAACTCTACGAGAGGGGCGCAAGCATATTGAAATGCCAAAAACAAATGATTATTTAAAAAATTTATTAATTTACTGAACGTAAACGAATAAAATACATTCTGACATAATAAAAAATAAAATTAACATTTACTCTGATATAATACACTTATAAATGTATCAGTACTGCACACAATGTATTTCATAATTAATTTAACTATACTAAGTTAAGAACAAGTTTTATAATTACCAGTGACCCCATGGGAGTGTCATATATAAAGTTATATACAAGAATTATACTCATCTTGATCATTTGTACAGTTAATAATTACTCCCTTAAATGAAACTTAACTCAATAGCGTGACAGCCCATGAGGGCCTACTGTACCCAACTCAGTATACGCGACCTTGGGCCTTGAGGTGCAAGAGCAGATGTTCTGGTCAGGTGTTCAGTCTGACTCGCAACCCCCTGTGTTAAGTTCCCAAGCAAGCTTGGTACTCATTTATCGATCCACTTAAATGATGAAAGGCTAAATCTCTTAAATGCCGATTAAAAATTACGCGATTCGCTCCCCAATGCCACCGTTTTCCACGTAACCGCACGTATGAGGTTAATTGGGGGTGGAGTAGAAAGTAATAAATAAGCAAATCCTCTGAAATAAGTAAATCCGTCGCAAATTCTATCAAGGTCCTTTTATTGCACTCAAAAGCCTTCGGAATAATTTTGCGGATAGCAGCATAATTTTATGGATAGCATGTATACATACGTTCGGGGCAATTAACGCACTCGTTGAGCGAGACGTTTATATACGCTAGCGGCATTTAAGAGGTTAAAGTGGTATTATAGGTTTAGCGTCAGTCATGTATTATTGAATTCAATACATTGTTATTGTATGGAGGGAGGATGGCGATGAAAATTATGATTGAATTTTGTGTCGCAAATATTGAAAGTTTGAGTAGCACTGAATTACAATGGTTATAATGATACTGATATTGTAACTATACTAAAAGCATGCTTCAAAATGTTTTTTATGAGTAAAATCCTCTTCACATTTATATGTTAAAGAAGCATTTTTTTCCTTCCAACAGCTTAAACGTCTTAAAATGAATAAAGCAGTGAGTTTTGAAGAATAAGTAAAGAAAAGAAAGAAGCAGAGAAGAAAAATTCTACAAAGCTGCCTGCCCTAGTCTTTAAATGTATAAAATGTGGTTCAGTGTGAAATTTCGTGTCTTCTACTACCGTCTGCAGTACCGTAGGTCGTGGGACTCTTCTCTTCTCTGTAACCGTATCCGGTTTCAGAGGGCAGGAAAAAATAATAACATATCCGGACTATGTCTAGTCAGAATTTCTTACATTTAACATTCCAACTCGAAAATATCATTCTAGAATTCAAAGGGATTATCCGACATATCAAGAAATATCTAACCAAGTGTTATTTTTGTGTACAAAAAGGATTTATCTCACTCAAAGGTTGTGAAATTCCCAATAATTTATCTGATATATGAAAGCGCGTTAAAAAGGAGTTTCTATCTGTGTGTAAAATGTACATTGTTCCTTATCTAGATCCTTGATTATTTTTATTCATATTTAATTGTTTGTGTCTGTGTCTTTGAATACAAGTAGACAAAAATATACTTTTGATGAACATTTATATAAAATCGGAATGGGTTCATCTTTAAAACTTGCTCTCGTCGTCTTCTTTTAAAAATTACGAAAAAAAGTATTTTGAAAGAACAATTTTGCCGTTTAGTATTAATAAGCAATTGAAATGAATTTTATTAAGTCTGTATTGTTTTTAAAAAAAACGGGAACTTTATTTTTAAAATTATTTAAGAACTAACAAATAATTTAAATGTGTGCACATCTGTTAATATATTTATACGGTAAGTTGATTACTTTTAGTTTCAAAATGTTGAACGATAAATTTTCAATAAATTTCGACCGTTTGTTGTAATATAAAATTGTAACTACTCTCTTTAATAATAATATTTGTTATAGGTATACTGGTAAGGTTACTAAAGCATTTCAATATAAAATAACAAATAAAATAAAAATATGGATAAAACTCCTAATAATAGTTATAGTAAGAGTAGCATTTAAAATAAAATAATGTCTGTGCGAAGTTCAAAAAGGAGCGGGAAGAGGGAATGAAAAAAAATGAATGGTAATAATGAGCAAACAATTCAATAACAATAAAACAAAAATAATATTCTTATTTTTTCATTTTTAGATAATTCAATCATTCTAGATTTTTCTTTATTTAAAATAAGATATCAGTAGTAATATTTTTTTTATGTATGCAGCAATTGGTCACTTTTATAAACAAAAATGTTTATGATTAAAAAATTATTGGCTGATTTATTATCAGCTTTATTTTTCAAAAGTGTACGTTTACAGAATATATGGTAATACAAATATCAATCGATACATGTTTAAAAAGCTACATTTAACCACAAAAAAAATCGTCGGATTTTATAAAATTTGTTAAAAAAATTGTTAAATTTAATATTATAAATATAATGTGGAAGACGATAAAAAGCGAGAAGGATTAAATTTTCACAAGAAAAAATATTGATTCTAAATTAATATTCTTTTAATGTCTATTTGAAATATTTCATGTTTTATTTTTTGAGAAGTTATAAAAAGAAAGAAAGAATAATAGAAAAGGGCGTTTTTGTCTTGTTAATTGTCGGATAATCCTTCTGTGAGAGAGAAGCGGAGAGATGATACGAGATTGCTGATAAAAAAAAAAATTAAATCTTGTGCATGTTACCCTTTGGTGTGTAGATTTAGTATGAATGGAATGTGATGACAAAATATCAATAAATAGCAAAGGTTTGTGCAGAATAAACTTCATTATATATATTTATTTATAAAATTAAGATAAATAATTATGTTCCATACTTTTTTTTTCTTTTATATTTAATGTAAGAGATTGCTTATACTCTCTTTGACGAATCTTATTCAAAAAATTAACTTGAAAATCTCTTCTCTCTCAAAACTAATTTATTCCTGTTAAAACATTTCTTTGTTCTAAATTCGTGTACTTTTTTTGCAATCTCATTTTAACAGTAAATAAGAAAATTACTATAAGAAGCCTTTTGGCTATACGAACTGATAATAATAATTATTATTATTGTATACTTAACTATTTTGAAGAGAAGTATTTCTCGAAACTCCAAAGAGAGTTAGACTTTCGATTCTCTAATTGTTTCAAAATTTCAAAATATAAAAGTTTAAGACTTCTTAAATACACTCATGTATTTATCTTATTTTTACCTAATAGTAAACAGCTATTAAATTAAAAATAGATTTCAAGTTATTTCAATTTTTTTTAAAGTTTTAAATGAAATTTCTCTATATTCTAAATTTTTTCATCCCTTTTAATTTACCAAAAATTTACAAACTCTTGAAAAAAAGTATTCCCATTGTGGAATCCAATATATTTTAATTAAACAAAGGGAAAAGATAAATCTTGACGCAGTTCCAAAAAATTTCTCAAATAAGACTAAAAAAACTGAGTGTATATTCGTCATTGTTTGAGACAAATATTTAAATTTCGTTTAAGAAGTAAAAATGTAAAATGATCCATTTTTTTTTATTTTATTATTACCAACATTTTTTGAAGTTATACTTCTTTTGGGGCATTAGAGAAATAGGATGAGGGTAAATTTTTACAATGCGCGCGCACACCGTCACGGATACGAAAATCCTTTGTCTAGAAATATACAGAACGGGACAAATCATTCCCGCCTTCGAAATTCTCAGAAAAATATTTCTCTTCACTTCCCAGAAAAGGACACCCGGGTTTGAACCGGGGACCTCTCGATCTGCAGTCGAATGCTCTACCACTGAGCTATTCCCCGGGTCAGCGACCCTTTGCTTTGCGTTCCGTAGGAACGGATACGAAAATGCTTTGTCTAGAAATATGCAGAACGGGACAGATCATTCCCACCTTCGACCCCTCCACATATTATTGGTCCTATTGTCCCTGTGCGGGGGTGTTTAAATTTATTTAAATCGTGATTATCTCAGATTTGGCTGGTCCGATTGACTGAAGTTTAGTATCGTTCAATTCTGCTCGTGACCGCCTTTCGTCCTTGGTCCAGGTTGCCCTGCTAAAGATTTTTAGAAAGATTTTAATCTTGTTACGCCAAAGAAGTATAAATTCTTACGTGCGTATATAAATATACACACACTTCTTTTTTTTTCACTAGGTTGTTCAAGATTCAATCGATTCTCATATGCTTATTTTCCTTTTTGAATTTTACAATAACATTAAAATGGAGATGCAATATATTCCTTAATTATATCAAAAGGAAGTTATTTTTAATTTTCATTTCCTCTTTGTTTGTAAAAGAATACGTCTGTAAATATTAAAATGTTTGAAAATATTCTTTGGAATGTACAACCAAGAGATCTTTATTCTGCACATGCTTCTGCTCTTGCCCATCCAGCATCTGTACACTTCTCCCTACTCTCCCCCTTCACTCTTTTTATACATTGTTATCTAGAGTCTTCATCGGCACTAAGTGTCATCAACTTCTTCTCAAGCAATAGATTCAATGTGTCCTTTGTCCTCGTCCACTCTTCAATCCAAAGCAGGGGAAGAGGAGTTGAGAAAGAATATCGTCAGATGCGAGTTTTTTTTTTCTTTTTTCTATTTATGTCTTCAAAATTCAAAACTGTTTGCAAACGTCACTCTAAGACTGGTTAAATCATTTTGGTTCTCGTGAAAGAAGTTGACGCATAATACTAAACACTATGGCCATCTACTCACAATCTATATATCGTAGGTCTAACTATCAGACTGCGTAACTCCATCTGGGATGCTAATTTGATACAGTAGGGCTAGGCACCAAGTTGCTGTTTATGTTCGCCAAGATAGGCGATAATATTATAATATAGTTTACTTTGATATTTTTATCGTGCGATAATGTGGTTGTCATGGGTTTAACGTATATTAGTGTTAGTTTTTTGTTTTCGTTTTTTTTCCGCGGGATCTCTGCTCAGCAAAAGTAACACATTGTTACAAATTTTGTGTAATGAACGCTTAAAATAGTGTAAATAATTTATATCTGGAAATGTTATACTTTAATATTACATTCTGTTGTATTTATTTTATGTTAAAATCTTGCCCACCACCTCTCTCTTCGAAATCTAGTTTTATTATGAAATATAAAAAAAAGGAGTGATTACACTGATCGAGGAATAAATTAAAAGCGGAGCGCGCACTGAGGTATGGCGTAGACAAAACAAAAGGATTAAGGAACGCGTCAAAAAGCGTTTGGCGCGTTGCACTCCTATATCAAATCAGTAACACCGGTGGAGTTACGCAGTCTGATAATTAGGCCGACGACATACTTCTCTAAAGACGTGTAAAGAAAGGTTAGTATATTACACTATTATATGTGTGGTTGAATTTATACATATATAAATATATAATGGATTCATTTATCAAAAAGTAGGATACATATATAAAAATTTCGAGTCTAACTATTATAAAGAGCTAATCATTCATTTTATGCCAAAAATTTTCAGTAGTGTAGTTTTTGTCAAACTACATATTAAGACAAGTTGCATTCGAGAACTTTCTTTTTCAATATAGTCTTTCTCAATCGCTAAAAAATATCCTCTTTCTCTGCTATGGACATATCCTAAGCGTGAATAATTTTATTATCAACTTACGAAATAGAGCCACACTTTGATGTATAAAAGAGAATTACTGTTATTTCACTCTATTGTAATAAACGCATATTTTGTTTCGAAAACACCAGATTTATATTTAAAACAAAAAAAAAACCTTTTTCTTATGTGAATTATCAGTGATATAAGTAATATAAAAAGATAAGTATGATAAAAAAAATGTTTAATATTTCTGCAATCATCAAAACTAAGAGAATTATCTATCTAAACACATATCAGAAACATGGAGAAAACTTTATTTTCATTGGTTTATTAATTAAAATTAATGAATAATTATAAAATAATTCAAATTGAATATGGTGAGAGAAACTATGTGTACGTTAAATTGTGAAAAAAATTTCAACATTGTGTGGACTCAATTTCTAGTAAGAGGAATTAATTTTTTTCAGGAAAGATTCAGAAGTCCCTTTTTTTAAGTTAAAGGGAATAAAAAGTTTCATTTTTATTGACATTTGAAAGCAAACACATTTTATCTAAAAACTATCATTAAAGATTTTTTTTTCAATGCAATGAATTAATACACATAGGAATATAAATGTATGCCGTCTTCAGAGATTAATATAAAAATTAATATCATTTATATATACAAATAAAAAAATTATAAATTATCTGAATTAATATTTTTAGCAATAAATAGGTTATTTTTTAAATTACTATTTGCGAGAGATAAAACTCTCATAAAATTGAACTTAAAAAACAAAATTAGATTAAAGAGAAATTTTTTTTTTCATTAAAAATGTAAATTTGTTCTGTAGTTACAAAGAATATAAATATAAATCATCTAAATGTAGCTAAAATATTTTAATAAATTGCAAAGTTTCAATCAAAAATTATGATTAAAGGAACTATAGTTGGGACTTCTGAAACTTTGGTTTCTGCTTAAAATATTTGCAGTCAACTCCCTGTTCTGCGGCTCTTATGTAAATAATGTACCTAATATATTTTTTATCAGAATGCAATGAATGTTTCACATATTTTTATTCCTACTTTTATGTAAAAGCTGTAAGTTACTATATTTAAATATGCGTGAGATATAATTAATGCATAAATAATATAATGACCAATTAATTAATAATTCAAATTAAAATATTATTTTTGAAGTAGCAGTTGAAGAGTTATTAAGTTAAACTTCAAGCAACTTGCGTTTAAAAAATTTTTTTTGTAGTCTCATATATTTTCGAAAAGATTTTCGAACAGATTAAATTTGTGTAGTTTTTGTGTAGAAAAGAATTGTATAATTAAAATATAGCTTTAAAGCTTCTTTTATTAAAGCTTTTGCAAGTAAAAAAAGAGAATTATTCAAAATATTTTTTTTATGAAAAGGGAATGGGAAAAAGAGAAAAAAGTTTTAACTACGATGAAAATGGAAATAAATAAAGTAAACTAAAAAAATATATGAAAATATTCCATTTAACACGTATCCACGATAACAGATATCACGGATATTTCGTTTTCTTTTTTTTTTCTGTTTTGTTGAAATCTATATGTTGTAATGCAGTTTCCGAAAAAATATAAAACAGACTCTTTTATATTTACACTTATTTGTCTAAAGAATTTATTTTTACTTCATGTAATTGATAAGATGTCAATTCTCTGATTATAAATGAACTTAAATTTCTGCAAAAGGCGAAAAAAATATCTTTCAGGCTTTGAGAAGGAAATTTAAAATAATGAAAACTGGTACTTCAAAAAAATAACATGTTCAACAGCTTATCCTTGTTCTATATTATGGATCAATATCTTTTAAATAAGCTCACAGATGCTGCCCGTATGTTGTATTTTTTTCCCTTGCCATTTAAAAAAAAAACTTAAAAATACTCTAATTAGCCTAAATAAAATTTCGTGAAATATTTAAGCAAAACAAAAACTTTATTTATATATTAAACAATCAAAAATCAACGAGTAGCATAAATAAGAAAATATGCATTCATTTAAAATCGATTTAAAATTCTCCATTCATTGCATTCTGGTGATGATCGAAAACCACTCAGATGGTATTTCGCACTACATCCAATAAACCTACTTCCTTAGCTGTAGATATATTTGTGGATATTGTGAACGACGAAGCCTTGAAAACAAAATACGACGAACTTGACCTTGAATTTTATTTTTTGCGGTGCCCGTCAGTTTCTTCACCTGATGGTCAACTACTACTTTGCGCGTGCCCCAAAGCACCCCATTCTAACTAAGCAACTTTCTGAAAAGTAGGTTACGTGCTGATCCTATTTGTTTTTGAGGCTTCGTCCTATAAAATTCTGTGGTAAGAGCCGCACGCTTAATTCAAAATTGTTTACATCTCTCAGTTATTTTTCAAGATTTTTTATGTAAATATGTACATGAGAGAGAAACTATTTTTGTACCTGATGTGTATAATGATGATAATAAATTCTGTGTATGATATAAAAAGTGGTTGTGAATTTTCTTATTTTTATGTCCATTCATTTTTAGTAT